TTTGATGGGGGTCTCACTGTACTGTCCAGGTTGATTTCAAACTCCTGCCTTGGCCTCCCAAAGTGCTGGGGCTACACTACTGAGTCTGGCCAAGGTGCTTGTTTTGATCATGCCAATGTATTAGTTTTACTTGATGCCCAAGATAAAGGTGTCCATGCTCTGAAGGAGCTACCTCTGCCCATCAGCCACTCTTCATGTCTACCTGGGCTGACTGCTTATGTGGAAAGGTACAGTTAGGGTTAGGGACAGTGCCCATCTGAACCACCTTGCCTCAATAAAGTTTCATACTTTTTGTTGTCCGGTTAACAGTTAGTACTTGAGGGTTAAGTTCAGGAAACATGTCTTGAGGGAGCGACTTACAACACACACACTTAGAGACTCAGGAAATCAAATTTGTATTAGCAGCATTTTAGCCAGTATTTTCCTCATTCAGGTTTATTTCCTTTATGTTCACCTAAACAAACTACCAAAATACATTACTTCTGATTTCATTTAGACTCTAAAAATTAGGCTACAAAAAGCACATAAACATCTACAAGTACCAAAACATTTATGACCTTAATTCTATGGTGCAAGAAAAGGGACACAGATAAGGAATACAAATAAGTTATAATCTATAGTTACATACAAAATTTCCTTTGATTATTTATTAAAATCTGCCAGAAAAGTAAAAGGAATGTTACTAAGCCTTTATAAACAATTGTGAACACAGCGTTCTCTTCAATTTCCTGGTCACACGCTCAGGTTAACAGGCACTGGAGACCGCCAGCTTCTTCAAGTGATCCATGAACACCTGCAGGCTAACGTCATCAGTCAGGATGGGCGCTCCAGTCTCCTGAAATGTAATGAGAGCAGCATGTTAGCTGGTTAGAGCTGGTGAGCTGTTAAAGACCTTGCACCTCAGAACATTCACAGAAGTGGCCTTCTCAGGTGGTATTTTGCATCACCCCATCCCCTGCCTAGGTAATCACCTTTTTCAAAAGGAAGCCTAATTTCCTCATAAAACCCTTCCTGCTCCACAGAGATGCCTGCTACAGACCGAGTTTTGAGTATCAGCTCTTCTACTTCCCCAGTCTGTACTGTTCCGATGGCTCAACAGGAGCTCCCTGAGACAGCACACCCTGCCCTTCCTCACCAGTCTGCCAGCACCTAGCCCGGGCACTGAGTTTTTATATCACGGCACACTTGAAACATCTGCAGCACACTTAAATTATGTTGATCAAAAAAAGAGGAAAAAAAGAAGAATATACTCATTTGCTTTGAACTTCTTTCAAAAAATATTTCATTAATGATCTTTAAAATTTTTTGTGGCACACCTAAGATCCTCTCATGGCATATTGGTGTGCTATAGAACACTGGTTGAAAATCATTAACCTTGGCTCAGTACCCATAGCTCAGCAGTTAGAGCACCAGCGAGATACCAAAGCAGGCAGGTTCGAACCCAGCCTGGGCCTGCTAAAGAACAATGACAACTGGAACATAAAAATAGCCAGGCATTGTGGCAGGTGCCTGTAGTCCCAGCTGCTTGGGACTAAAAAATCGCTGACCTAGCCTTTGCTCTTAAGTGCTTACAACAGAAGCTGAATAATGGTGTATTCACAAATAAGTAAATGAGTTAATCAGTATCTCCACTTAACAAATAGGTATTTGTAATATCAGAAAACATTTATGGGCCAGGCATGGTGGCTCACATTTGTAATCCCAGCACTCTGGGAGGCTGGGGTGGGGAGACTACTTTAGCTCAGGAGTTTGAGACCAGCCTGAGCAAGATCCTGTCTCTATTAAAAATAGAAAAAGTAATCAAGCATCACAGAGAGTGCCTGTACTCCCAGCTACTTGG